CACCACTGTGAACCATTCTGACTCCTTTTCTAGAACGGAGCATTTCACACCAAACCACTCTGAAAGACTTTGTTTACATCTTATTGATTTAATTAAATTTGGAAAATTGGTGGAATTCACCTTTAAAAATTCACTCAATCCACAAATATGACTGCAGAAACTATTTATACAGGAGTGGAATGTAAACAATAAACAGTACAGTCTCATTCTCAGCACATTTATTGCCGTATTCCAACAAAATTAAACCAGTATTTTCAGAACTCCAGATTAGATCAGATAAGTATGTGCTCATTTGAATCTGATTATCAATGATTATCTCAGGTTAAAACACATTTCTGTCTTATATAACAAACTGTGCTTGGTGATTATCCCCACTAAAAGCTTTCCCATCAGTTAGCCACTGACTTTGTGTCATGTTACGAAATCAGTTTTCTGCTGCTGATTGGACCTTTTAGAATCCCCATTATTAACCTTCAGCTTCATGAAGTTCAGTCCTCAAATGCCCCACAGTTGGCTGTGAGAGGAAGTCTGCGGGTGGGGGCAGGACTGGGCTGGTGAGGCCTGCTTTCCTTAGTCACACTCATGTCCTCCTGTGCCAACAGTGAAGAGCTGGATCTGAGATCTGAGCAGAAGATAAACGATGTGGAAGAAAATAAAGGCTAAAAGTGGTGGTACAGGGTTTTCTGTCTCTCTCTCCTTGTTGGTGAAGCTCATCTAAGTGCCATCTTCAGCTGAAAGGAGTTCAGTGATAAGAATCTGATTCTTTTATGACAAGATTACGTATGTTTAAGTATGGGCCGTATGTACAGTGCATCTTTCACCCACTTCCGCTGTTCTCATAAAGATGGTCTTGTGATAACAGTGGGTTAAGTGTTAAAAACTGTTCACAGCTTGTGTAGCATACGTATCTTATGCTGGTTGAAGTCATTTTTACTTTGGTTAGCAACTCAAGTCTTCAAGTAAAAAAAATATTGATACTTAGGTTAAATAAAATAATGACAAAAGTTAATGTGCCTTCACCAAAAACGACTTGAGTAGAAGTACAAAAGTATCAGTAAGTGAATTACGTTAGTACTAAGTAACTTACAGAATCAACATCAACATTCATAAAGCATTCATGATTTACATGATATTAATATTGCCTTCTCTATCATTTTACAGCTATATATTTTTCAAAATAAAAGTTCTCATTTTTTATTTTGAAAAACTATATTATTTTCAGTAAAACGCCTCATTTCTGGACAGCCAAAATAAAAATGACCCTGCTCTACCCCTTTGGCCATTAAGTGCTTTGACACTTAATGGCCATCAAAATAATATTAAGTCGAATGATTGTTCCTAAGCATATTTAAAGATAATTTACTCTCCTTGCAGTAAAGTGACACGCAAAGCAAATGCTTAAGAAAAAACAAATAATTAAAAAGCGATCAAAAGTAGAGGTGAAATGTGCCTGAGTGTCAAAGCACATAGTGACCAAGGAATAAAGCGAGGTCATTTTTATTTTGGCTGTCCAGAATTTTTTTTACATTTTTTTCAAAATTTTTTCAAAATAAAAAATCAGGGCTTTTATTTTGAAAATGTATCTCCATAAAAGTACATTGTAGTCTATATCAATATCATGTAAAACATGTATACTTTTTAAATGTTGATTTAAACATTCATTACCATGTTATGAAGAGTTTATATAAGATGTTATGAATGTGTTATGTAGACACCCTTCAAGTAAAGTGTTACCAGAACTTCTAAGGACAGCCAGCATCAATCAGCACAGGAACTAAAGATTGTTTGGCTCTATTCTTCTCTTTTTGAGATTCTTTTGGTCAGAGACGTGACCAATCACAATGCAGTACAGATGTTCTCACCAACAAACCATAATGAAACTCCTCGATTGACCCCGTTTCAGTACTATTTTGAACCTGCCCTTGTCAACTCGGCCTCAGTATTTCTCCTTGAGGGGAATCCCAGACGCTGTAATAACGCTTTTACGTGGGCTGCACTTGTGTGTGACTGTAATATCTTAGATGACCCCTTGCAAAAATGGCAAGCGAGGCTGTTTATAAGCCAGAGCAAAAGAATATATTAAGATACTAAATATTCTAAAACTATAACACCAGGTTTACTATGTTCAAACTGGGCTTTGTACCAAACTGCTCCATGTTTATATATGACAGCTAAGGAAACTTCATTACTTCACTCTGCTGGCTTGCTAGATAGCAAAAGGCCGCTGTCCTCCTCAGACATTTTTCTGAGCCACTTATCCTCCTGGGTTGTGGAGTGGAGGGTGCTGGATCCTCTGCCAGTGCTCACTGGGCAGAAAGCAGGAAACACTCTGGACAGGTCACCAGTCCATCACAGGACGGACACAGAGACACACATTTACACACGCACACACATCTAGGGCCAGCTTAGCATCTCCAGTCTGCCTGCCTGCATGTCTTTGGACTGTGGGAGGAAACCCATGCAGAACATGTAAACTACAAAATGGACATGCTCAGACAATCTTGTTTTTTTCTATTGTCAAAGACAGGCAGTTATTTTGTGTTACTAGAACAAAACATAGCACATGTTCATGTCCCATTTAGAAGCATTCTATCACAGAGCATATGCTTGTATCCCAGTAAGAAGCTTTGAATCAACTAACATAGGCTCAAATCCTATTTGGAAACGTTCATATCCCTGTTAGAAACATTAAATAATAGAGCATATGGCCATATCCCAATTGATGGACGAAGAGATGCACCTATGAATAGAGAATGAGCTAATATCAAAATTTGAGAAGTAAGGCAGGGGGATATCAAACTACCCCAGATAAATGGTATATAAACTGTTGTTTGGAACACTGTATTTGCGCAGTTGGGGTCTCTCGAGACCCTGTGCCACCTGATGCTGAAATACAGAAGAAGGCTTTTTCTCCTTCCACAAGAATTCAGCGGCTGAAGTCTTTTATTCTACTTTCTTTTATTTTTAATTGAATACCCTTTTTATTTTTGTTTATTTTATTTTTGTTTATTTCTGTAAGTGATTAAGACAATAATTAAAACAAAACCACAGCACAGAATAGTTTCGGGGCTTTGGGCAAGAAAGAAAATAGCTCTTGGTCCTGACAGCCCCATGCTGAGAGTAGCCAATAAAACATAATAAATTTACATACGTCCAGATATTTAGTTAACGTTGTTTACAGTGTGGGCAATGCTATGCAGCTAGCCACTGTTCCTCAGCAGTTGTGGTTGCCACTCATAATAGCAAGGCAATGTAATGAGTCAAGTTGAACATGTAATAAAAGTTACATTTGGTACCAGCCTTTAGAGCAGAAATTAGAGATTAAACGTTTGGGACACACCAGCCAGAGGATTTCAACATCATTCAGTCTGGAAAGGACAAAAACTGCTCCTTCAGTCCAGAGAGGTTCAAAAGAAAAACATGGCTAACTGTGAGTGTAGCTAAAAACACTCTTCTGCTTTCCTTGCCTGCCCTTGCTATGCTATCACTCAAATTCATTCATGGATTGGTGACTTTGTGAGAAAAGTTTTTGACAAGTTTGCCCAGATAAAAGATCATAATGCATCTTTTCTTTTCGGGTAGTGAACATCACTGGTGAGTCATTCTGCATTATTACAAGATGTGTAGTCCTAAAGCCCGGAAAGCGGTGTGTTCTCCTGCTCTGAAATGTTGCTTTGGATATGTTTTTGCAGACCACAGTGATCGTTTATCGCTTGATAGCTTTGGATTTGTAATGCGATGCTGTATAACCAGGTTTTTGTGAGGTCTAATGTTGTTATCATATCACTTATATTCCTGTCTCCAACTCCTCAGGCCTGTGTGTTGTTGAGTCGCTGCTGCCCCTACAGCTGCCACCTGGCTTTCTGTGCCAGAGACACCACTGGTTAAAAACATTGAATCACATAGTGTGTTCATATCAAATATCAGTGGCTGCCATGACTTTTTTGAGGACACTCCCCAAAATCTAAAAGTCACGCTTTATCCTACTAGCAGTTACGACATGGTGGTGGTAATCATGTGCACTCGTCTTGTGATCACATATATTTCTCATATGTCTTGAAGGCAACAAAAGAACAGTTTGGATTCCAGCAGAGAGGATTTATGAATTGAGAGCTGCAGTGTTAAAATATATCTGGGAGCATGGTCACATGGATTTGGCAAGAGGGAGGGGGGACTTATTCCCCTTTGATGCAGACAACAGAGACCCAATGCCCATTTCACTAAACTTATTCTTGTACCTTCATGATTACAGCAAACATGGCCAGTTTTGTGATGGCGAGGGTCTTTTTGAGCCTAAACATGCCTTTTCTGATCAGCTGATACTAAGAAAAAAAATGTTTTGTTTGAGGTTTGTTGAGCCATCAGTCGGGTCTTTCTACACAGAAAGGAAATGTGTCACTTTTCATCTCATTTACTTGAACAGGCATGTGCTGTCTTGGTTTACTTTGTACGCATACCCAAGTAAATTAAGCCTGTTTTTCTTAAACTATGATACTCTACTCAACTTTTTTGAAGTAGCTGAAGTTTTTGGACTATTTCATGTATTCAAATTGGATCTGTCAGTTGAAGATCCGTTGTCATTAGCGGGCGCAGAGATCGGCACAGGAGACGATTTTACAGACTTGTTTTAGTCACCGCCTCTGTGTTGTCTTTCCTTGGCTGCCTTCCCTTGAGTGTGAGTATGTTTTTTCCCTTTTTCAACCTTCAGACTGTTGGAGTGAATTCTCGTTCAGTGCACAATTCTCTACTCCACTATTTTCAACAGTTTTCTCAGATAACCAACTATAATCTAAATCCAAATAAAGGATACCACAGTTGTGGAGCTCTGCTCTGTGGTTTAACTTCAGGGACGGTGTGAGATCATCATTCAAACTCGACAAGACAATGTTTTTTTTTTATTAAGGCATCTCTGTTATAAATACATATAGATGCTATATATACAATATAAAAAAAATGTTAATGTAGCTGTAAAAAGCTGCTGGCGTTTCACAGAGGAAACTGTGACCACAGAGGCGCCCCAGAGCTGGAGGTTGTTCTACATTCTAGGCTTTATGAGACAGAATAATCAGTGAAGCGATGCCCACAGACAGGATGCATGATCTGCAGTGTGGGATGGTGAGTTCTTGTATCAATATATTAGCATGTTGTTACGTGTATATAAATTGCTTGATTACAGGTGACTACATGTCTTACGTTTCTGTTGTTTTCTGTAAACGCTGCCATATTAGTCTATCAGTGGATAAGATGTTAGACAACAAAAGTTGTTTTCAGTTCTGTGAAACTCTGTTCTCATATTATTCCGAATAGAGAGATACAAACGCATTATGTTTCTCTGTGTAATTTATAGACCCCCGTAAAGCATTTCTGTGAGCTCTGCTCAGTGTGGATGCTTCTGTCTTTTCTTTCAGGTAGGCTAAACAGTCATACGACCCCCTGTTCATTAAAGAAAAATAATAATAATCATTTTAAAAATGGCTTTTCACTGTATTCACTGAAGTATTTGAAGCCACAAATGAGTGATAAATGAAATAAATCCTTTACTACTTTTATTTATTTATGGTAAAAATATATATTCAATATAACTAATCTTTTCTACATACTTTATATGGATTGTAAAATAAGTTTTTTTGAACTGCTTTTTTCAGCTGTGAAGACTGAAAGCGCTGTATTGAATACGTCTTCAGGTCACACTGTTCTTCAGGGCAAGACAACTACAGTTAACTGTGATTATAACAAAACAATTGAAAAGGTTTTTTTTACAGTAGCCTTGAGCAGAGAACAGTTACTGTGCTCATATATATATCAGCATAATTCCTGGAGGAAGCGACCGTGTAAAGACAACATCAGATTTATTTGGACTCCAGAAACAGAGGAAATATCATTTGAGCTGTTGAATCTTCAGATAAATGATTCGGGTGTCTATACCTGTGCTGTGGAGAGAGAAGTACACCCTCCGGTAAAGCGACTGGGAGTTCAGACAGCATTCATTGATGTGATCGGTAAGAGTTTTTAGACTTACTCACAAAAAAGGTACTTACATACAGTAAAAATAATGATCTGGGTTTTATGATATGTTGTCTTTTTTGGAATAATTTATGCCACAAAACAATGTTCAGAGTATTTTTCTAGAGCACACAGTTGTATGTGAAAATCAGTCCTCCTCAGAGAACACGCTTAAATATAGCATTTGTCTGCAAAATTTTGTGCACAAATTCTATTAATTTTCTAAGATTGACATAAAAAACAAAAACATCAAATATAAACTGTGCCGTAACTTGGAGCACAGGCCACATTTTATAATAAATTTCTTCCCCCAGTGTGTTGAATTCAGCAGGTAAACAGTAATTGTGTATTATAATGTGCTGCAGTGTGTCTCTGTAGAGGATGTGTAACTTATTTCCACTTAGAAAATCAACAAAACATGCACTTCTGTATGTGACTGTAACTGCAGGCAAAAGACCATAAAGAAAGACTATTAAAGTACAGATTTAGCAAATGCTAAACTAAAAAGAAAGATATTGCATGCTTTGCTGGAGCATTTTCCAAATTGTTCACAAACTTTATGAAAGGGGAATTCCAATAATCAGGATTCAGTGATTGAATGTAAAAGTCATTCAGAGTGTTTTGAAGTAAAATTGGTTATTTGTACAGAAACCTACGGTATCAGATTTCTTTACATTTGTGGTGATAGAAACCAGGGGCAATGATGCCTAAAACACAAATATTGTCATTTAATTTACATGAATAATGAACTTAAATTAGTTTTATATGTTGATAATGTTAGAATCCTAAAAAATCTGAAAAAAAAATTGTAGCCCAAATGCTTGTGTCAAAACTATGGTAAAAAAACAAGATCTCAGGCATCAGGCTGTGTATCTATAGCCATTTTATGTAATAACTTTCTTTGAGGGAGCTTTTAGAGATATTAAGTTCTTCATATGTCTGGTTCCTATTGTCACTACTGTAAAGAAAACTGCATTGGTAAGTTTATCTAGAACAAAGCCTTTTATGTCAAACCACTGTAAGTGACTCTGTTTACATTATAACTGTTTAATTATACAGAAATGTTTCAAAATTGGTGGAATTCCTCTTAATTTTTTTATGATTAATTGTCCTGATACATATGGTGTATCATGAAAATGTCCTAATGTATAGTGATATTTTTCCATTTGGCCCTTTCTCACAGTAACTCCTTGCATACAGAGATTTCTCTGGATTCTCTGAATCTTTTAATGATATTATGTACCACAGATGATAAAATCCTCAAGTTATTTGCCATTTCATGTTGAGAAATGTTATTCTTGAATTGTTGCACTATTTGCCTGCACAGTCTTTCACAGAGTGGTGAACTCCTGCCACCAACCCCCCCCCCAATCATGTTACTCTCCTGTTACTAATTATCGTGTTTTTTAACATTACACAACCAGTCTTTTGTTGTCCTTGTCCCAACTTTTTTGAAACGTGGTGTTGGTATCAAATCCAAAATAAACATATGTTTTTCCAAAAACAATAAAATTCTCAGTTTCAACATTTGACATGTTGTTCTTGTAATATTTCCAATTGAATATAGGTTTAAACTATTTGCATTTCATTTCGTTCTGTTTTTATTTACATTTTGCACAGTGTCCCAACTTTTTTGGAAACAGGGTTGTATGTATACATTCAGAACACTTTAGTATCCCTTTGGGGACTAATAAAGTGTTATCTTAGACCACACTGACATACTGATAAACTGTGCTAGTCATTTCCTAACACCCTCATGTCTCTCTCCAGCTCGTCCAGTGGTGTCTACTTCTTGTATGGAGGGGTCTGATGGAGCTCGCACAATGCTTTGCACTGCTGAGGGGTTTTATCCTGCTGCTCTGGAGCAGGTCTGGATCGGAGATGGAGAACATATCACCTACCCCAACTCTTCACTCATAAACAGAGAGTATCTGAACTCTTCTGCCGTTCAGTGGAACTCCAGCATCAACACAGACGGATCTTACAGCCGCACATCCTACCTTCACCTGCCACCCACACCTAAACAGGTGATGTACCACTGCTGGGTGAATCACTCGTCCCTCAACCAGTCGATCTCTGTTAACATCTCCTCCACTGAGTGCTATGAAAAAACCAAGCAGCTGATAAGTATGAATTTCCAACTTACTATTATATTTTACCCCTTTTGTTAATGAACCAGAATATTAATGCAATGTAAGCGGTTTTGACTGAGCAATAATGTTAAAATCCCTTTATTCTGCTGTTGTTGCACTGACAGTGATCCTCATCTTTTTCAGGTGGGAGTTTTATAATGGCGGTTATCAGCTTCGGTGTGTTGACCGGGGTCTTTTTCATTACTGCCATTAACTATCCAAGCCTCAGTAAGTTTCAGTGTCAAATTGGTCTTTTGCCTGACTCTATGATATAGCATATAGAATTTTAATAATTTCACTGATGCATCATGCATACATATGCACCATCCAGCCACTTCATTCTGTATACCTCCTTGTTTCTACATTCATTGTCCATTTTATCAGCTCCACTTACTATATAGGTGCACTTTGTAGTTCTACAGTTACAGACTGTAGTCCATCTGTTTCTCTGCAAACTTTGTTAACCTGTTCTTCAGTGGTCAGGACCCCCACAGAGCAGGTATTATTTAGGTGGTGAATCATTCTCAGCACTGCACTGACACTGATGTGGGTGTGTGTGTTGTGCTGGTACGAGTGGAGTTTTAAACAGTCCGTCCACCTACTTGTGGGCTGCCAGAATGTACGTGCTGCACCATTTAAGCTGTTTCTAGTAGATCAGACATTAAGTGTGTGAAATACCCCCTTGTATTCGGGGGGGGGGGTCCCATGTTGGCTGGATACTTTGAGTACTAACTCAATTGCCATAGCGACACTGATGCTAGTTTCAATGGCAGAAAATGTTTGGTTTAATTTTTTTTTTTTTTCTAGAAATGCACTTTTCTACTTTGGTATTGAGGCCTTCCACGCTGTAACGAGACAGAACCAGCCAGACGCTCACGGAAAAAAAAAAAACGAAATGAGGTCTTCGCTTGTGAAGAGTAAAGACCACAAGTCAAAGGCAGGACGTCCATAAATAGAGTCAGGAAAACATGAAGGCAATATCACCAACAGAAATGCTCAGTAGCTCTACAGGGAGAAGCTAGCTGTCTGTCTGGCTTGCTGTCTGTCTGTCTGTCTGTCAATACCTTTCAAAGACCCTTTACTAAAGGCCAGGCTTAATAAGCTAGATCTAGTCATATAATACACATAACAGGTGAGACAGGTTAGCACTCAGGAGAATGGTAAGGGTGAATGGTGGACTGTGGAGTTTCATCTGTCATGTGATGTCCCAAAGAGTTCTGGGAAATGGAGTCTTTGAGAATGTCAGAGCCGGAGGGATGCGTGACACACATTAACTGAGATCTCCTCTTTTGTCCTCAGCTTGAGAAATGAGCAACAGTTCATTCCTTCCACCCATCTCTTGGGAAATTGGGCAAGTTTTCAGATTAACAAATATGCTGCGGCATACTTTAAAGTTTTTAATAGGTTACAGTTACAGTTGCTAGGCTATGAAGGACCAACTGGGTGAAGAGTACCACCCCCAGGCAGACCAGTGCTGCATCTTTAGTTAGTTAAGACCGCCAAAGACAGAATCTCGCTGATTGTGAGTGAAGCAGGATGAACAGTGATCTTTCCCTGTAATTTGTAATTGAGTGTCTGTGAGTTTATTTTCAGAGACCTCCCGGAATTTTGCTTTTGAGACATTCAGGGGGTCCAAGAGGTTAATTACAGCACGTCAGGTACTGAGAGTGATCCACCACCCAAATACTACCTGCTATGTGGTGGTCCTGTGGGGGTCCTGGCCATTGAAGAACAGGGTAAAAGGGGTCTAACAAAGTATGTAGAGAAACACATGAATGACAGTTTGTAACTGTAAAACTACAAAGTGTATATACATTAAGAAAACGGTGGTAAAGCACATGCTTTATGCACTTAACGTACAGGATACGATTATAGGCAAAAGTCCAAACACCTCCGATCAAATGACACGTTTTGTTGATTTTTTTGTGTGAAAACAAACTAACACATCCTCTACAGAGAAGATAAGGGGAAACTTAAAGGGGAATATGGTACCAAAAAATCAATAAGTAAATAAAAAAGATGATGTAATGTAAAAATATAAAGGTCATTTAGAGTGGTTGGATTTGAAATGCTCGGGTCTAGAGAAACTTATCGAGATCAGACTAGTGCACAGTGGTGGTCATAGATGCCTGAAGTATTTAATGCTCCCAAAATCTCTCTAAATGATTATTTATTTGGCTCTTTTACTGTTTTAGAAGAATGTCGTCTCTGCTCTTCTGCTGAAGAGACTAAAACCTCTGAAGCTGCCTCACTCTCTCAGGTGAGGTTTTGCCTGTATCTCTCACTCTCTCTCTTATGTGTCGTCCCATTTGATCCTGTCTAACGTTCTCCTGCATCCTTTATCTCACTCTCTCAGGTGGAGTTCCACATCATCTCAGCACCTCCACAAATCATCTCAGCGCCTCCACACTGACTCCTCTCTCAATCATCTACTCCAACAACACGAACTGAAGCAAATCATGATGTTGATAACTTCAGCTCCTAAAATTCATATTAAATTGATTAAAATTGATTGATTAAAACCTGTCCAGGGTGTATCCTGCCTTCCGCCCAGTGACAGCTGGGATAGGCTCCAGCACCCCACCGCAACCCAGAAGGATAAGCGGTTTAGATGATGTGTGTGTGTGTATGATTGATTAAAGTGATTGAAATTTTGTCAAGTGATAATTTCAAGTGTTCATTTGTAAACTCAATGCTTTGACTCACATTTCACTACAATTTGATCCTACTTGGCACAGTTTATGTAGATTAATTTTAAAGGGGAATTCCACCAATTTTTCAAAGTTTCCTCCTAATTCATTTTGAGATGTAAATAAAGTAATTCGGGAATAGTTTTGTGTGAAATGATTCATCATAGAGACACTTACTGATTACTGAACCAGCGGTCGCAATGTCTACAAAACCAACATAGCCAAATTATTTACTATCCAAAACAACTAGTAAACCTACTAGAATTCTGTGATGATGAGAATGTGACCTTTTTATTATGACAAGATTAAGTATGGGCCATATGTACGGTGCATCTTTTTCATCACCCACATCCTCTTTTCTCATAAAGGTGGTCCTGCAGCAACAGTGGGTGAAGTGTTAAAAACAGTTTGCACTTTGTGTAGCATATGTATCTTATGCCGGTTGAAGTCATTTCTACTTTGGTTAGCAACTTCACGTTTGTTCATATGGTGTCAGTGCCTATATTGGAAACTACACTGCATTGCTCCTTTCTGTGTATATTTTTTCATTTTTTAGTGAAGAGAAAGGGCTGTTTCTTCTCCATAAACCACAGAATGAAACAACCTGAGTTGGACAACAGAGGCATTATTCCGCTATATATATATATATATATATATATATATATATATATATATATATATATATATATATATTATGTCATACATATAATACCAAATGTAAATAGCAGAACAATGACCACTGTAAGTCAATGCTACTGAAACTTAGACCTGGTCAGAGATATGTAGTAACAAGTCACATTTACTCTAGTATGTTCAAGTCATAACACTTGAACTTCTATTCACGTATATTAGTGAGCAGAGGTGGGTAGAGTAGCCTAAATCAGTCCTCAAGTAAAAGTATTGATATTTGGGTAAATTAATGACAAATGTGCCTTCCCAAAAAACACAACAAAAAAGGAGTACAAAAGTATCAGTAAGTAAACTAGGTAAGTACTGAGTAACTTATAGCACGGGTTCTAAACATTTTCCACCCCAAGGCCCTCCTGTGCATAACTACAAAGCATAGCAGCCCACAGAAAAACTAAAATCAACTTTTTTAAATACAACTTTTTCTTTTCTTAAATGCTGACACTGAAAACCTGAGAATTATGGCCTGAAAAGATTGGATTGGCCATTCTAGTCTCAGTAGGTTTGCAAAATTTGCAGGTATGTTGAAAAACATAAAAAATGTATGGACCTTGATTTGGAGCTGCAGTCCATTGCATTTTCACTGAAAATACTTCACTGGCTTCCCAAAAGAGTAATTGTTTGGTCTCGAGACGTCTTTTTAGTTTTGAGGGCTTTTGTATATTATATAAACCTCACTCCACTCACTGAGCTTTTGGATTAGCGTCGTCACAATCAACGATTATAAATCTTGACGGCTGCTTCTTTGTCACTGGTTTAGCAATAAGAGTTTGACCACCCAGGTCACTGATGCTCAACCAAAAGGCGCTCTATGTCTATTCTATGTCTATAGTTTCTAACAGCAGTTTGTGCTCAGTGTATAAAGAGTCGTTAAAGAGTTGTTAAAACTGTCATTAAGTCATTATGTTGACTGTACGGTGCCGGTGTGCCTCTAGAAGAGAAGGAGAGCCAGCTCTGTTGATAAATTCCCCATCAGCAGTGAACTGAACAGGGTTCGATTTGAAGCGGACCGAGAACCGTGGGTTTCTGCCGAACCAGTTCAGCTGTTTGCTGCAGACCCGAATATGGGTGGAGTGTTCACACATCAAAACGGAGCGAACTAAAGGAAAAGGTGTGATAAGTTCCCACCAAACATCGTTATCCTGCAAATGCAACGTTTTTATTTGTACATCTCTGGTAATATTTATATTAATGTTAGTTATTATATGAAAACGTTTGATTTACAATTTTTTAATTATTAAGTTATTTTTTTCTCCACTTGTGTTTTTATGACTTACAGTGACATAACACCGGCCCACTACAAATTATTGCCAGCGCCCGTTGATGAGGAGCCTGGCCACTTTCTATTTCCCCCGTTATATTAAAAACATGACTGCAAAACAGCAGAGGGCGCCCGCGAGCGAGTCCTCAAAGAATGGACGTAAATGGAGCTCAGCTGCTAAAAACCTGAAGTTAGATTTTAAATCACTCGCCCAGAGCTTTCCGTTCATTTTAGATAGTAGAATTGATGTATTTTACTAAAAAACCAAAGAAAACTTACCTATATATTTCTTTTTTCTACAGCAAATGGGTTTTGGGCAGCAAAATGCTGGCATTACAGCTAGTGAGTGCTGATTGGTTGGCGGGCGGAGCAGCTCATTGGCTGTTCCTGCTCACTGACGTCATGAACATACATGAGGGGCCGTTTTAAACTCCTATAACTCGAGTTTAAAATCTCTTAAAAATATAACAGCAGTGTTAAAATGTTTTATGCTGCTCTGTGTTCAGGAAATGAATATATTATTTTACATTAAAAATGTTTAAGCGTTTATAAACTATGATTTTGCTCAAATGCTCCATATCAACCCATTCATTTTGGCTCGCTCGGGAGCGCCATCTAGTGTTTGAGAAACCCGGAGGACATTGCAGAGTGGTAATTCTCCTCTTTACAAGCTCTCTGAGTACAGGCCCACGGACCTCTACAGGGTGCTTCACGGCCCACAGGTTGAGAAACCCTGACTTATAGAACTGCAGTGGAACTTCTTAGAACATCCAGCATCAATCAGCACAGCAACTGAAGTTTTTTGGCTCTATTCTCCACTTTTTGAGATTCTTTTGGTCTCAAATAAAATGCTAAAGCTCCAAAGTCAGAGATTTGACCAATCACAATGCAGTACAGATGTTGTCACCAACAAAACACAATGAAATTACACACTAAAATGAATGCATTAGTAACTAGATTTGAAGGGCAAACATGTAAATAGGTAAAAAGTACAACCCCATTTCCAAAAAAAGTTGGGACACTGTGCAAAAAGCAAATAAAAACAAAATGCAATGATGTGCAAATCATTTAAACCATATATTTCATTGAAAATTGTACAAAGACAACATTTGACATGCTGTCTTTATAGTATTTTCCTTTAAAAATATGGTTTACATGGATTTGCATACCATTGCATTCTTTTTTTATTTATATTCTGCACAGCGCCCCAACTTTTTTTGGAAATGGGGTTGTATATTCTTCACTCATTAAATGATATAAATCGTTATGACTTTTAAATACTCAGAATAATACAATATTTATCAATATGTTACTTAAGTCCATTTACTCGCCATTCGTGTTTAGTTAGTAATCATTTTTTTGTGTTGAATTTCATTGTGGTTTGTTGGTGACAGCAATCTGCTTTGTGATTAGTCACATCTCTGACTTTGGAGCTTTAGCATTTTGTTTGAGACCAAAAGAATCTCAAAAAGAGAAGAATAGAGCGGAATAATCCTCACGTTCTGTGCTGAAAGATGCTGGATGTTCTAAGAAGTTCCACTGCAGTTATATATTTATTCAGTAGTTCACCTACAGATTCTTTTGTACTTCTACTCAAGAAGGTGCCTTTACTTGTTCCATTATTTTACCCAAGTATCAATATTATTTGGCTGCTCTACCCACTTCCGCATTGATTATATCTGAGCCTGGTTGAGGTTTCTGAAGTCCTGTGCCAGATAGTTTTACACCTCCTCTTTCATCAAGGCTTTGCTGTTGCACAGTGAGTGAGGCTTACCTTTGGTAACAGCTCCACTCTGTGGTTTAACTTCTTAGAATGTATGATATCCTGTTTTAAATCCAGAGGAAACCATGCTTTTTAATTAACCCATGAAACCCTAAGGGTCCGTCCGCCGGCTCACACTTTAACTCCTCACTCACAACTACATAATGTGCATATTAGTGTCACAGAAGTCACTGAATCATTTATTGAAGTTACTAAATAATATGGTGTAAAATTAATAACTGAATATTAATTGTATTGTTCTTTATGCCTGTCAATGCCCTGAAGGAGACTTTGTCTTTCTCCACAAAATGAGGTACTAAAGAATCTAGAACGCATGTAGTTGTTTAAAAAAAAACTGCTGGTTTGTGTTTCGCAGAGGAAACTGTGACCACAGAGGTGCCTCAGCTCACTGCAGGCAGTATGAGGCAGAATAATCGCCTCGATGCTTACAGAGAGGATGCATGTTCTGCAGCGTGGGATGGTGAGAAAGTGGTTCGTGTATCATTATATGATTTTATATGTGTAAACTGAACGTTTCCAGGTGGCTAGACTTCATTTCTAATGTTGCTTTTGATTTTTGTAAATTACTATTTTGAATAGAATCATAACAATTTCTCTATGTTCTATAAGCGCATTTTTACTTCACTTGTGTAAGGAAAAAGAATGAGATATTTAATTTCTGGATAATTTTCATCCTTGTTTATCATTTATTGTTCACTTTAATGAAAAGGTTTATGCGAGCAGAGGTTTAATATAGGCTGTATTCCTTATACGTTCTCTGTTTAATTTATAGACATCTGTAAATTGTTGCTGTTTGCTCTCTTCTGTGTTGATGCTTCTGTGTCTTCTCTCAGGTAAGCGAATACATTTCTTTCACTCTCCATTCATTATATATGAATACATATGGATATGTAAACATACAGTCATGTGCAAAAGTGTGAACAGCTCCAGTCAAATGATGTGTTTTGTTGGTGAAAATACTTCGACACATCATCTACAGAGAACATACTTAAATATGACAATTTTAACAATAACATAATAACATGTAAAAAGCACCATAACTTTTGTACAGGCCACATTTTGTTTCATTTTTCCATCAATATTACATTCAGCAAATAAATAGTAACCATGTATTAAGCTGTTCAGAAGAGTGTCCTCTGCAGAGGATTTGTTACCTTATTTGAACTTTGAAAAACAACAAAACGTCATTTGACCAGGGGTGCCCAAACTTTTGCATACAGCTGTACTAGTGCTGAAGCATTTGTAAATAAAAAGAGTAGAATCCATCAGTAAACAGCAGAGTATCTAAAATATGACTGTTGTATTTTCTAAACATTTTATGTGAAAGAAATACTAATGTTTCTCTTTTTCTGAATTGACTTTATTTTTCAGCTGTGAAGACGGAAAGTGCTGTATTGAATACATCTTCAGTTCACACTGTTCTTCAGGGAAATACAACTACAGTTAACTGTGATTATAACAAAACAATTGAAAAGGTTTTTTTTACAGTAGCCTTGAGAAGAGAACAGTTACTGTGCTCATATATATATCAGCATAATTCCTGGAGGAAGCGACCGTGTAAAGACAACATCAAATTTATTTGGACTCCAGAAACAGAGGAAATATCATTTGAGCTGTTGAATCTTCAGATAAATGATTCGGGTGTCTATACGTGTGCTGTGGAGAGACTTACACCACCTCCTGTTCAGCAACTGGGAGTTCAGACAGCATTCATTGATGTGATCGGTAAGAGTTTTTAGATTTACTCACAAGAAGATACTTCTTAAACAGAGAAATGTGTCGCAGTGTCTGTTAGTTTGTGATATGGTGGCCACAGGAGCCACATACTTTTAAATACATGCCATACAGATTTATTATGACAGAGAGATTAGATTACAGATTAAAAACTGGTATAAGTCAAAAGAATGCTATCTTTTATTTTGGCCTAATTCTGGGTCATTTTAAAAATACTTTAATTATTTACTTGCCCTGTGACAAAACAACTAAATATAGTGCCGCTGTCCAATGAAAAGAAGAATGTGCATTGTTTTTAATTTTCATTTTTCTACATCATTTGAACACACTATGTTTTCCATTGTGTGAAAAAAATTCAAACAAATGCTCCTTAAAAATATCTTTACATAAAAGCTAAAATATCTTTACATAAACTTGCATTAAAAGTTAAGTACATTTTTGCATTCTCCTGAAAAGTTACTACTTTGGAGATGCATATTTTTCTTTTCTTTTCTTTTGGACAGCAATAGGTCGCATATATCTACACACAATAATGAATGATGTTAAATCTACAACTGCTGACCATCAAGCTTCTGCCATTGGTATATATCTTTGTTATACATAATTTAAATTATTATTATTGAAATTATTGTGGAGTACTACAGGTATCATAAAATGCATGTCTCATAAAAAGACTTATAGATGGTTTTACACAAATTTGTAATCAACAACAATTAGTGGATGATGATTGCAGAAACATCATGGTAACAAGTAGGTAACTCAATGTCAGCCCATTATTTTTAGCAATTACACTAATATACTAATTTTGGATGTAGCAAGTTTTTTAAGGAATAACAGCAGGTAAATAACAAAAAACACATTTTTATTTCTCTAATAAAGGTGGTATTATTCATAATACAGCATTGATATTTCTTGTATGTGTAAAGCTCAGTCCCAACAACATATATCATGACAAAAAGAACATTCTTGAAAGTGGTCTGTAATGCTTTTTGGAACTAACCCTTTATTTCATAATAAATATTGTGTAACTTTAAGTTTGTGATGTTATATTTTTGTCATAACACCCACCCTTATCATCAACCTGTATAGATAAAACAGAAGTTAGTAGAGCTATGAGTAAATACTAAAATAGCCGTCACTGAAATAATCATAACCTCCAGAGTGCAGAAACAATCTGTTCACAAAAGAATTATAAAGACTATGACATTGCATTATTATTCAGGAAAAAAAAGTTTTTATGGACAGAAAATGTGCTGATAAACTACCACCATGATAGAAACAGAAGCTTGGTTGTGTAGTCAAATGGTTTCCTAGAAGTTATTAATATTATGAGTAATGAATGATACTAGCCTTTGTACTCGTTTAAAGGGAAATTTCAATGTTTTTAATATTTCCGTGCAATTCAATCACAGAAACTCATTCAGGGTGATATGATGGTGAAATTCTTCATTCTAAAGAAACACTGACTCAGATTTCTTTAAAGTGGTGTTGACTGAAAGCAGGAGTCACAATGTCTGCAACACAAATGTACCCTTTTTTCATGTACTATCGAAAATGGCCAGTGAATCTACGCAAGTAGCAATGTTGATAAGGGAAAAAAAAAAAAAAGAGGTCAAACCTAAAGAAAAGTTGTATTTTTTCACCATGAATGGATTTTTAAAAATACATTTCAGGCTAATACCTGATCTCAAAACTATCGCACAACAAAGTCTCAGGCATCAGGCAACATATTGTTAACCTTTTAGTATAATGACTTTCTGTGAGGTAGCTTTTAAATACAATTTCAGATTCAAAAAGATTCATCCGATTCCAAAATTATTTATTTCACATGTAAATCATTACAGAACAATGCAGTAAACTGTAAATGGTTTAAATGAGCATAAAGTTTATTATGTAATTTTACAAGAGCTCAATATGAACCTCCTCCAGCTGTACAGACAACATTAACGCCATAGTCAAATTCATCCTGTACTCGACTGAGCATGAGTGAACAAATTTGTCTTGGTCAGTTTGAGTATTTCACACGAAACCACTCTGAATGACTTTATTTATGTCTTAATTACTGATTTTTTTCAGCTCGTCCAGTGGTGTCTGCTTCATGTATGGAGGGGTCTGATGGAGCTCGCACAATGCTTTGCACTGCTGAGGGGTTTTATCCTGCTGCTCTGGAGCAGGTCTGGATCGGAGATGGAGAACATATCACCTACCCCAACTCTTCACTCATAAACAGAGAGAATCTGAACTCTCCTGCTGTTCAGTGGAACTCCAGCATCAACACAGACGGATCTTACAGCCTCACATCCTACCTTCACCTGCCACCCGCACCTGAACAGGTGATGTACCGCTGCTGGGTGAATCACTCGTCCCTCAACCAGCCGATCACCGTTAACATCTCCTCCACTGAGTGCGATAGGAAAAACAAGCAGCTGATAAGTATGAATTTCCAATTTCATCACATTTTTGATACTTTGTTTGCACAGTACTGTTAATCCCATACAGTTATTGTATTTATAGTAATTTACTTTTTTTTCCAGATGAGCTTTTAATAGGGACAGGCATCAGCAGTGCTGCGTTCACTGGCATTGTCTTCTTCGTAGCAGTGTACTGTCATCGTCTCAGTAAGTTTCACTAGTAATGCTTTACTAGGAGTAGCCTATTTATTTACATTGTTTCTAATCCTGTATTGTCTTTTTACCATTGTAAAGAACATGGGAGATACACATTGTGTCCAAAAGTGTGTAGACACGTGCTCATCCAACATTTCTTCTAAAATAATTCAGGAGTATTTATTATTAATAGGATAATAATAGGGAATTTATCCCCCCCCCCCTTTGCTGCAGTAACAGCCTCTACTCTTCTGGGAAAGCTTTACACTAGATGTTAAAACATTGCTGTGAGGATTTGATTGCAGTCAAATGCCAATCCAACTCATCTCAAAGGTATTGGATTGTGCTTCATCCTTCCAAAGAACCCAGTTCTACCACCTAATGCTGGCGGGCTTTATACCACTCTACCACTCTAGCCAACGCTTGGCCTTAGTCATGGTAACTTTAGCCTCATGTATGGCTGTATAAGAGTGACCCTTCCAATTGGTAATGCTTTCCCATGGAGATTATAAACCTCAATTAAAAAAAATAATATTTGGGACAGTATGTGAAATTATAAACCATAGTTTCCATTAGATACAAATTGATGATATTGATGATATAGCCTATTTGAAATGATTGTCTGAATATTGACGCAGTGTGTCCTTCTAGGAAGAAAAAAGACATGTCCACAGTCTCCAGTAGGAAGGCCTCTCCTACATGAGCCTGAGCCAAACGCTCAACTGCAGACTGCTGTGTACTCAACACTGGGGAGCCATCGACCAGTCCCATGCAGGAACAACAGCAGCCGTAGCACAACTGCCTCACTACAGCGAACACTAAACCATAATGCAACTCAAAATGCCTGAATGAGTCAGTGACTGTGAACAAATCATACCTGTCTTTACAAATAACTATAGTCAAATTTGAAGTATGCTACTTCTTTAGGTATATAGTTTATAAGCTACATTCGCTTTACTAAAAGTGTAAAATGAATGTTTAGACAGAATTGTTACTATAAGGTGTAGAAATAATTATGATTACACTGCAAATAAAAATACATAAAAAGATTTTCTTTGTGTTTCTTTGGAGACTGTGATGTGTCTTATGTATTGTATTTTATTGTATTGTATTGCACTGCTCTGTGTTTAACTCTGTTCCTTTTTCTCTAGATGTCAATAATGACTTTCTGATTCTAGCAGTATCTGAGCTCAGGACTGACTTTCTCTCTAACCTATTGGTAACTAGCAAAGATACTTTCTCTGGATAGACAAAGCACTTTTTGTAAGTCGCTCTGGATAAGAGCGTCTGCTAAATGCTGTAAATGTAAATGTAAATGTCTTCAAGCCCTTCCATAATCTGAGTCTCCTGTGAATCTCCTGTATGGAGTAAACTCCTGAACTCACTGTCTGTTCCTAATAAATGTGAAATAAAACTGAAAAAAAAAATAAAAATAAAAATAAAAAAAGTAAAAGCAAATAACTGCACACGAGTGACCGTTTTTCTCACACAAAACATGAACACGTCATGTGTATGGAACCAAGCTGTAAACATGAAGGCGGAACAATGAAACCACGATGTTGGCTCGTGTTTAACGTCGGACACGTTTAGTTCGTGGAGGCTGCTGGTGGGATTTAGCTGAGTGTGCTAACAGCTAAAGCGAAACTGAATGACTTTTGGGTGTTTAATGCAAGTGTAAAAGTACGGTTAACCCCATTTACATGTTTCGGGTAGCTAAGTAATTCACGAAGGTGGTTTATATGTGACTTTGTAGAGTTTCAGGACACTTCTTTGAGAGGATACAGGATTTCTGGCTCTGTTTTTAGCGGTTAGCCGGAGTGCTGTCGATACTGTAATCAGAGCTGTAAGGCTCGCCTTTATAAGCAGGTTTGGCACTGAAATGCCGTCTGTTTCTGAATATCGTTAATAAAGTCTACCAGCTTTCAGCTCAAACTGGGATAATTCTGATGTGTAGAAAACAGCTAACCTAACATAAACGAGCATGTCAGCTAAACGACTCGCAGCTAAAGCGTCTTATTCGCCAGTTTCTTGTTCGAATTTCCCCGTTCCACCTTAAAAAAGTGTAGCAGCTACATTCTGGTGCGCGAGGTAGTGGAATATTTAAGGTGGAACTGGACAATTCGCTCAAGAACCTGGCGAATAGAGGCCTCCTCTAAATGACAGTGAGGGGCTCAGCTAGATCCACTGGCTAAGCAAAACCTCTACCGAGGCAAACGCGTTGAAGCTGCTGAAGGACACTGGTGGTAGATTGTATTTGGCTGTAATGTTGTTCTGTGCTGTGCAGTTAGATATTCAATTGCATTTACAAAAGCTTGAAAGACTTCTGTTCTGTTTCCACGCAGCTAAAGAACATAACCAGCCATGTCGACCATTTCCCATGGCTTTAAAAGCAGCAAGCAGGACTTCACGTTTGGACCATGGAAAGTCACAGCGGAAAAGACCCACATCATGAAGTCTAAGGATATTGAACGGTAGGTAGTGTAAACATCATTGGTGCTCTCTGTTTTTCGAGTGTATTAAGTGATATGATCTGCAGTTCACTTCCACTGTCATATCCTGAAACTGAAAAAAATTAGTGAGAAATAGTGTGAAATAATCCATCCGCTGCCTTTGAATGGTTTGTTTTTCTGTATTAGTCATGAAAGCTGGTCATTTATTGTGTGATGTTTGCATCTCAGAATAGGGCTGCAGGTCCAGGATCTGATATGCTACACACCCATTACAGACCTTAGTAACTATGTGGTCGAAAACACTCAACACTCCTGAACAGAGATTTGTGAATGACGCCCTATGCTAAAAAAAGGTTTATGGAAACTCCACCAATTGTGAATTTCAGTCCAGTCCGTTTACTATTCTGGGAATTTTTTCATGTAATGCATTGATGATGCAGCACCACCAACATCGAAGTAGCTAAACTGATGTAGCTATTAGGGCTGAACGATTTGGGAAAATATAGAATTGCGATTTTTCTGACTAATATTGCGACTGCAATCTAAATTGCGATTTTTTATCAACTGATATTTATCAGTTATCACCAGAATATCCACCTTCTTAGGCTTCACCCCTGAACGTAGTGTGCCAAACTGCCAGTAAGTTGTGGTTGTGATGTCACAACACATGGAGGTTTGGTTGCCTCTGATTGGTCTATCTTATCTATAGGCATTTCACAAGCTCTTATTAGGTTCAGTTGCCCCTCTTAAAACCTAAAACAACATTTTTGCTAATGTACACACTTAAAAAAGATGGTTCTTAAGAAAGACAATGGTTCTGTATAGTGGTTCTTTGGATTGATGGAGAACGTGTTCTATATAGCACCTTTCTGAAAAGCATTTGATACAGCACCAAAATGTTCTTCTGTTGTTACAAGCTTGACATCGTAACAATAGCAGAACCCTTTTTGATGCTCCATAGAACCATATTCAACACATTCTGCCATCAGTCGGAAGAACCGTTTTACCCATGCAACGAACTTTTTAAGCAAATGGGTCTTTAAGTGTAGATGGTTCTTAATGGAATGATTGTCTTTACTAAAGAACCATATTTTTTAAGAACCTTGAAGAACTATATTTTAAGGAGTGTAAGCTATTATAAAAAAAATTGCAGTTCTTGCCATTTGAAAATTACTCTGTCTTAAATTGTGATTTGGATTTAAAATCGATTAATCTTTCAGCCCTAGAAGCTATAAAGAAACGAAGCAGTTCTCTCTGCATTGAATATGGCTAAAGGGGACGGGGTCCACTATAAAGACAATGCTTTAATAAAGTGGTCGGATCACTGAAAATGGATTTATTCAGTCAGCATTGAATACCTTTGAAACTTAATATGTTAAATCTGTTATACAGTATTAATATCAGTAGTATAAACAAACACGTCAAATGTGTCTACATGTGTGTTGCAGCGTAATTCTGCAGTCTTCAGAATTATTCAGAAGTAATTCTGACACAATCATCCACAACTTTTTGATATATTAGCTAGTGATAAGAAATTTTACCAGTCATTTATTGTATTTCAGGTTAGCAGAGGAGATGCACATGCCCTCTCTTCCGGAGATGCTATTCGGAGACAATGTTCTGCGCATTCAGCACACTGATGGGTTTGGCATTGAATTTAATGCCATTGATGCTCTCAAACGTGTTAACAACGCACAGGACATGGTGAAAGTGGCTTGTGCTGAGGAGTGGCAGGAAAGCAGGTTGGTGACATATGGTATTAACAAAACATCCAGACAATTGAGAGTTAGAGTTTTTGATCTCCAGGAATCTGTAAACACAAATTCATGTAAATTCAACCAGCCATCGCGATGTTAGTGCTTTCACAATATTTACACAGTATCAGAATATTTGTACATCTCGTATCTGTATTTCTGAATATTCTTGAGGTATCACAGAGGTAAACATTTTTGTTTTGTTTCTCCCTTGTTTTATTGAAGAAATATATCAGGCTCACAATTATCACAAATGTCTACAGTTTTATTGGAAACTCTTCCCTCTCAAAAAAAGTACAAATACCGAACATTTCCTTTTCAAAACTGCATTTCAATCACAAAATCCTGAGGCCGATCATGAACATCCTTTTCTTTTTTTCTTCCTGAATTCTGGCAGAGCTGATTCTGAACACAAAGAAGTGGTGAAGCGTTACGATTGGACGTATACGACAGATTACAGAGGGACATTACTTGGCGAGGACCTGCAGATAAAGGTATTTTGGCGTATGATCGTTTGATGGAAGTACTGTGGCAGTGTGGATTAGTACGAACAAATAAAATAACAAATTTCACAATGAAAATGAATTTGAATAATTTGGTACAAATAGGAGTTATTTTCCAAAATAAACCAAAAACACGTTTACATTTACAGCATTATCCAGAGTGACTTACAAAAAGTGCTTTGTCTACCTAGAGAAAGAATGGTACTGAAGGAACTAGTTATAAAGCATAAAACAAAACTGATACAGTCGATTCACCACTTTCATACCAATGCGTTGATCTTGTTGACCGTTCTTAAAGAGAGAAATGGTCTCCGTTTGAATGTTACTCAGGTGACTTCCACAACAGAGCGGATAGACTTGGAGAAACTGAAAGCTCGAGAGCAGATCATGTTCTTTGAGGATGTATTGCTGTTCGAGGACGAACTCCATGATCACGGCGTTTCCATGATCAGTGTGAAAATTGTGAGTGATGCCATTTTCCACCTGTTTATTATGTTGATGGACTGTCTGTGATTATGCAAGAGAGAACACAAGAGGCTGGTATTCATCAAATGTCTAGAACTAGAAGAGTCTGTCCGTGACCTGGAGAGGAAAGTGATCCTGATTGACATTTTTATTGGAAATTCATCCTGAATCCAGACTCTTTGAGTTTTAAACTGCTGTGATGTCTGTTTCAGAGAGTGATGCCCACTAGTTTTTTTGTGCTGCTGCGCTTCTTCCTGAGAGTGGATGGAGTGCTAATCCGGATCAATGACACACGACTCTATCACGAGGCAAGTAAAACCCTACCAGCCATCACAAGTCTTTGAGTGTAACTGTATAATCAGTTTTGGATTACTTATATTAAACATAATGATCTTGAGGATGTGGCAGAACTGATTCTAAATCAGCACTTTTATGAGACTAATAGGTTTTCATGTAAATCTCTGTGTTATAGATTCTACGCGCTGATAGAATAAGTATACTGGGCTTGAGTTTGTGAAACTGCAGTGATGTTTAGCTGGTGTTAAGTCTTATTCTCTCATTCTCTCTTTTGACTGCAGGCTGGGAAGAACTACATGCTGAGAGAGTTTAGCACAAGAGAAAGCAAAGTGTCAGCTCTGCAGGTGAGATATTTACTGAGATAAATGATACATATAAAAAGCATGAGTGTGTGTGCATATTTATATATATTCCAGTCAAAACGTCCATTAAGTACAAGTTGTTCATTTTTCTTTAGATATTTCTAAAGAGATGTCAGATAATCCACTTGAATAAGGAAGGGGAAAGATAGAAAAGATAGAAAAATGGGACTCCTAACAGCTGTGCAAGACTTGGTAGACCACCAAAACTGTCCCCACCAGATAAAAAGTACTTAAAGCTTTCATCTTTGAGAGAGAGGAGAAAATCAAGCGCTTCAGATCTGAAAACATCCACAGGTTTTTCTGTCCATCCTTCCACTGTGAGAAGACGACTCAGCGCTATGGGTCTGAAAGGATGTGTAGCTGTCAAGAAGGCATTATTGACAGAGGCTAATAGCCACCCCAGAGTCCAGATCTCAACATCACTGAATGTATTTGGGATTATTTGGATTGTGAAAAGCAGAAAATGCAACCAACTGCTCAGACTGAACTTATAAAGTGTGGAAAAATATACTGGCAGATTTCTTTGAAAAACTGAAAGCAAGTTTCTTGAACAGAATGGAGGTTTTAATAAAGGTAAAGGGTGGACACACTAAATACTAAACATATGAGGCTTCTTTGTGATTTTCTGTTGAATATGTTTCATGCTTTTTTTTTTTCTCTGACGCTAAAAATTAATAACTTGTATTTAATTACTGTTTTTGACTGGAAATTAAATGAATGAAGGCTGGTCGCTGACTTTTCCACAGTAAAGCATATGTACTTTTTTTCTGTATACTTAATGGATCATGCCTTGATGGTATTTGCAGTTTCTTAACATCGCCATAGTTGTCTTAGATGGTCCCTGGCATTTCCACCTTTGTTGCCTTATTCTTTGTTTATTTGGTCATTTTTGTTAATATCATTTAATCATGATTTATGAAATACCTCTTAGCTTTATAAAGATTATCTTGTTTAATATTTCATGAAATATTGAAGAATAATTCCACACAAAACCATTTATTTATGCTTATTTTTACTGTGCCTCTCTTTGATAATGTTTGCTTTCTCTGCAGCATGTTCCTCCTGCCTTCTACACAGACCCCAACGAGATCGCTCAGCACTTACCACTCAAGTTCACAGAGTGTGAGAAGCTGGAGTTTCCCGAGCGAGAGACACCAGCTGAGACTGCTAATGCGCCACAGTGACACACATGTCGGGTCTTATTTCACACATTTCAAACCTCAGAGTAAGAGCACTGATCTTTTAATGTCGGTAAATTAAACCATAACAGAGGTGACAGCAGAACCCAGATCAGCATTCATACTTTGAAGTATTTTGATGCATACGAGCCCAGGGCTGGAGCTGTGATGAGCTGCACGGCTGCTTCAGCCTGAGGAGACGCCCACGAGCGCAGGTCCAGCATGCTCTCATCTCACACTGAAGACTACCTTTTATAATGAAACACTTAGAGCCTGTCTCAGTCTGTGGCACTGTTACTGGAACATCACTATCAGTGTTGTCATGTAAGACTCTTTGAGTTGTGTTCTCACTCATGATGTAAACAGAGATGTCAGAGATTGACTAATGATGATTCTGCATTTTTTTATAAACCAGAAGTTCTGGAATGTGATTTTTGTGTGAATAGTTTGGAGTTATTGATTACTGGTCTGGGGTTTTGTGGATGAAGGGCATTAGAACGGTGAATATTAAAAGGAAATGTTTGGAAAAGTGCACTGCAGAGCAATTATGCCTGTCAGTAATGGAAGCAATGAAAAGTGATATTGAAAACCTGGAAGCCACAAAAAGCTCAAAGTAAGGAATATGGCAGAGCAGGGATCATTAGGCTTTAAAGAGGAATTTCACTGTTCCTGCCTTTAGAATGGCCTGATGTGAAGTGCTCAGTTCTAGGGCAACTTGTCAAATCAGAATGGACCATGGTGGTGGTGATATGAACCAGATATCCAAAGAGTTTAATGGGCCGTGTTCACCAATATCTTCTTGAATAAGTTTTCGAGAAAGTTCCTAAGAAAAAGTCTACGTCAGATTCATGACGAGGTCTTAAACCACAGAATTGTTAACACCTTTCTCATGGTCTTGAGTGTACATGCTTTCAGTTCTTACCTAAGAACAAACCCCAAGTAAGAAAACACTGGTGAATGTCAGAATCTTTGTGAAAACTGTGTAAGTTTTAAGAAACTTCTCAAGAACGGTTGGTGAATGAAATGCCCGAGACGTTGTTTTACCATGGGTTAGACAGAAGGTTTTGGTTTAAAATGTATTTCCAATAATTCATTTCATGGTGGAGAGGTACATGCATAGCACTGAGAAGCAAAATAGTCTAAAGTTTTTCAGATTTACTGCTATTTCATGTGGATTCCAAGGAGACATGACTATTTTTAATAAGGCGTGGCCACAATATAGTCATTTGTGGCCACACCTTATTAAAAAAAATAACCAAACTGTCACAGGTCTCCATAATTTCACCATTATCAGCATTACCTATTAAAACCCAGAAGATGTGCAGGTTCACGACTTGTTTTGAAGAGAACAAAATGGCTTTATTATCCTGTCGCCGCTGTAAAGAACTCGTTTCTCTACAGTGAACCAGTTTGCATCAAACCACTGAATGGCTTTGTTGACACCTCAACCAGTGAATTATTCAGCAATAAAAAATCGGTGTAATTCCACTGGGTATATTTTGGTTGTTCCATCTGAATTTTCATGACCAAATCGTAAGGCAAATTATTCAGTAACTGCATGAAATAAATGTACATTTTTATTATATATATTTATTTATTTATTTATTTTTTGAAAAAGCTCCCCTCAGATTAACAGAACATGTGTTTTATGATCACACATATTGCTATATGCTTACAATTTACTGCTGAAAGCCAAAAATCTTAGACGCTCTTTGTATTATTTTATAAAAATAATTTTTACAGAGCAGATCACTGAAGAGACGCCATCTGTTTATAGTTTATAGCCCAGATTTGTGGAAAAATGGGTCGAATTTCAGTAGAAAAACAAATTGAGTTCATCTTCTTTTATTATAAGGGTTTAAAATTACATCACCCATCTACTTGACTGGAAAGAAGACAGTTACAGCTCTCATACGACCCCCACCTTTTGAATGTAGCTTATGAAATATGAAACTTATGAAGAGGAGCTGAAAAGGTTAAACCCCCTTCGACTGTGAGGTTCTGGCCAGGTCATACTGGAACGTTCGTGAAGACGCGTGTTTCTAGTCGGAGGGTTAGCAGTGCGACACCGAGGTTTCACGTGGGGCTGTGTCAGTGCAGTAAGTGCAGAGGTTTGTATTATTGATCATATTCATAAACTTTAGGTCATAATGCACTGATGATGGACAGTCTTGGTTGGCTTTCGGTGCAGCAGGCTGTGTCAGTAAGCTGGTTAACGTGGTCAGTAATTTGACTGCTTTTTGAGTCCTATCAGGTTGTAAATATGCTGTAATGTCCCATTTTCACTGACATTTCTCTGATAAATCACGACAAACCTTTCAGTTTCTCAGCATTTTTAATAATAAACGAATAATAAATCATGTCAGAATTCCAGATATCTGTTTTTTGTTCTGTGCCAGGGCCAGTTTGTCCAGTTGGCTGTCATTTTCATTCTCATCAGTCAGAGTCAGACATGAGGTCCATCCAAACAGTGAAGAGTTGAAGAGGAATATCACTGATTTTTATTTTTTTTATTGCTAGAGGAATAAGCAATTATCAGAGACAGGGTTTCAGTATACAAATGCAATACATAAAGAATACATTCATAAACTGAAAAGCAGATTATCACATCTTGCATGAGGTAGTGGAACAAGTCTGCAAACAAAGTTGTATTTTCTCAATACATTCATTATCTTAGCTGTTCTTTTGCAATACATATACTGGATTGAGGAGATATAAATGTAAAAGTCATTTTTAAATGCACTGTAAGATGGGATTCTCTTTGTAAATTTCATTTTATGTGTGGTTAACCTTTTCAACTCCTTGAGACCACCGGTGGTTCCAAAACGCACTTCGTCATATTCTTCATAACTTTCATATTTCATAAGCTACATTCTAAAGGTGGGGGTCGTATGAGAGCTGTAACTGTCTTCCTTCTAGTCAAACAGATGGGTGATGTAATTTTAAACCCTTATAATAAAAGAAGCTGAACTCAATTTGTTTTTCTACTGAAATTCGACCCATTTTTCCACAAATCTGGGCTATAAACTATAAACAGATGGCGTCTCTTCAGTGATCTGCTCTGTACAAATTATTTTTATAAAATAATACAAAGAGCATCTAAGATTTTTGGCTTTCAGCAGTGAATTGTAAGCATATAGCAATATGTGTGATCATAAAACACATGTTCTGTTAATTTGAGGGGAGCTTTTACCAATAAATAAATAAATATTTAAAACAAAAATGTATTTATTTCATGCAGCTACTGAATAATTGGCCGTATGATTTGGTCATAAAAATTCAGATGGAAAAAAACAAAATGTACCCTGGTGAATAACAGGTCAAACAAACCATTAGTCAGCATATTTTTAACCATTTTATGTAATAATTTTCTGCCATGTATAAGTTACTGATATTGAACACTTTGGGTGTCTGGTTATTTTCACCACCACTGTAGATAATTCAGTGAAAAAGTTTCTCTAGAATGGTCTGTTTCATATCCAACCACATTTCTGCACATTTATATAATTAAGATGTAAACAAAGTCATTCGGAGTGGTTTGGTGTGAAATGCTTAATTCTAAAGAAACGTACTGAGTCAGAACTGTTCACACTGGTGGTGAAGGAACCAGACATCTGAGGAGTTTAACGCCTCTAAAAGCTCGCAGACAGTTTTTCCATGAAATGGTTATGAGAACCGATATCTGAGTCACTGTTTTACAGCGTGTGTTTACATGGTGGAGGGAAACATGAAGGGTGTTCTAAGGCAAATAGTCCCCAAAGAAAACTTTTTGATTTTCAGATTTCGACTATTTTACCATCATTTACATCACATATAAAAGCACAGAGGACATGTGTGAGTTCACCAGTTTTGGACAGTAAATAAAAAGGCTATTTTTGTGTTGTAGACATCAGGACCTCTGGTTCCTATCACAGTCTGTAGGTTTCTCTACAAATGAATTATTTCACACCAAACCAATCTAAATGACTTTGTTTATATCTCTTATTCTCCAGGGTATATTTTGGTTTGTCCATCTGAATTTTCGTGACCAAATCATACGGCCAATTATTCAGTAACTGCATGAATATGTAAATTTTAATTTCATTTTTTTGTAAAAGCTCCTCTCAGATTAACAGAACGTGTTTTATGATCACACATATTGCTATGTGCTTACAATTTACTGCTGAAAGCCAAAAATCTTAGACGCTCTTTGTATTTTTTTATATAAAATAATGTTTACCGTTTATAGCCCAGATTTGTGGAAAAATGGGTCGACTTTCAGTAGAAAAACAAATTGTGAGTTCAGCTTCTTTTATCATAAGGGTTTAAAATTACATCACCCATCTGTTTGACTGGAAAGAAGACAGTTACAGCTCTCATACGACCCCCACCTTTTGAATGTAGCTTATGAAATATGAAAGTTGTGAAGGATATGACGAAGTGCGTTTTGGAACCACCGGTGGTTTCAAGGGGTTGAAGAGGTTAACTATAGTTTTGAGAACTATAGTTTTAAAATGCATTTTAAACACATCTGTGTGGAGATGTACATGCACAGAGACAAAATACTCCCCAAAGAAAACAGTTTTTTCCAGATTTACCACTATTTCACCATCATTAACATTAACATATGAAACCTCAGTAGATGTACAGGATCACTGGTCATTTTAGATGGTAAATTAAAAGGCTTTATTTTTGTTGTTGACATTACAACCCCTGGTTTCCGTCACCTTGTTGCAAAGAAATCAGAGTCCAGATTTCTTTACAGTGAAACCACCTTGAATGATTTTGTTTACGTCTGAACCATCGAGTCGTGCCGTAATTGTGAAAAATCAGTGTAATTTTCCCTGTAGTTTGAGACGAAGTTGGCCAGGCAGGTCTACAAACAGGCTGTTATTCCTTGGTTATTTCCAAAGACTAATTAGAGACTGAACAATTACTTTCTATCCACACCAAACAAGATAATGTGTTTATCTGCTGGACAGAGATGCCAAAAAAAGGGAGATCAGCAGTGAGGAGCCCGGAGGAGAAGGAAGAGGGGATGTCTGCTAAACAGAGGAAGACCGACAGTCCTCTGTGCTTTGACTCGCCGGCCAGCTTGTTCCAGAGTCTGATTGCCCCCATGGACGTAGATCAGTTCTTCCAGCAGTACTGGGAGAAGAAGCCATTGCTGCTGCAGAGATCAGACCCTGCACTGACCTCCTACTACCAGTCCCTCTTCCAGCTGTCTGACCTCAAGCAGCTGTCTGCCCAGGGCCTGGAATACGCCCGAGACCTAAACGTGTGCCGCTGTGTCAACGGCAAGAAGAAAGTGATGAACAAAGAGGGGCGAGTGAACTACAGCCAGCTGAGGAAAGACTTTGATCAGAAGAGAGCCACCATACAGTTCCACCAGCCGCAGAGGTTCAAGGTGAGCACTTTCATGTGTCAAGGCCTCAATGAAGGCCAGAGGACTGAGCAGGTGGAGTCTGTGTAAAAGTGTGATACATCTGACTTGATCAGACCTCCTCCTGTTTAGGATGAGCTGTGGCGCATTCAGGAGCAGCTGGAGTGTTTCTTCGGGTCGCTGGTCGGCTCTAACGTGTACATCACACCTCAGGAGTCTCAGGGTCTGCCACCGCACTACGATGACGTGGAGGTACTAATGAAAGTGTCAGTGTGTCAGTTTCTGTCACTGTAAGCAATTTCGTTCATTTTGTTCAGTCTTTTTTCACTGTCTAGGCCTGTCATAATTATTACATAATTGCCTAATTACAATTATTTTAGATGAACGCAATTATTTAAACAGACTGCAATTATTTTGAACAGATCGTTAAATTTCACAGTCGTATGCTGCAACAAAAAAAGTGAATTGAGAATGTTGGGTTGAGGCAAATAAACGTAAATAAAAGAAATCAGTATGCATTTTTAAGACATAGTTGGGCTTATGAAAAAAAAATCTTCCAACTTTAATTGTTGTGCTCTAACATATTTAGAAATCCCATTCATTTTTGCCATAGAGAAATTCAGCTTAGACCCAGAGTTTCTAATATGGGCATGACACTGACTACAGAATAACACAACTTCCCGGGTCTATATTACGTCTCTGAAGTTGACGTCATTCTGTAGTTGGTGTCCTGCACATAATAGGAAATAAGCAAATTTTCTCTATGAGAAAAAAGAAATCATTGCTGTCATTTCTTGTAGGAAACAAAAATGTTCCCTAGTTGATATGTTTCACCATAGAGACATTTTTTGGCTCTGAACGTTGCTGGATCTGCTGAATTTCGTTGCTATTAAGGAGCCGAAATGTGGATATTGACATAATAACCTCACCAAAAAACCCACGCTAACCAACAAGCTTCATCAAATGTGGTAGTGGAGTTGCTTTGGCAGTAGTAGAGTACAGTTGTTGTTGATGTTGTTATATGAAATGCTGATTAATAGAAGACTTAATTACAGTCATGCACTGACATTCCAATGCACAATAGTGGTAGCTCGCTTACAGTATGTACATAGCATTATTCATATTTTGCCTTATTAACAATCTTGCAACTTAGAGGATCCAGTGATGTATGCAGGACCAAAAGTGTGGGGTTTGGAACATTTATCTTTACCACAGGGCTCAATAGCAGCAATTTTCAAAAAAGCTGTTTAATTTTGAAAATCTGCTTAGAGTTCCTAATATGAGTATAATATTGACTACAGAGTTATGACACTACTTAAGAGGTCTTTAAGTTCAACGTGAATGGGTGGAGCCAAATTTATGCAATAGGCCGAATAGGATATATGTAAATATGTTGTTTTTCATGACGTCACAAAAACAGTGTATTCAAAACAGGCTATATGGACTGGGGAATGCATGGTATGCTTTGAATATTTTAATAGTTTTATAATCTATATCAAGCTTTTATTTTGTAACAGTAAGGGAAATTGTGGTTTTCCCTGATATGAGCTCTTTAATATCCACAACTCCAATTGCTGGTCTTGGCAGTGTTTCCATATTTAGTACTTCTTAATGGGTTGTTAGGATGCTTATGTTTCCAAATCAATGTTATTTACTGTCAGGGTCATTTGTCCAGTCTTAGGCCCTGTGTGCTTTCTTTCCCTTTGTGTAGGTGTTTATTCTGCAGTTGGAGGGTCAGAAGCACTGGCGTCTGTACGAGCCCACCGTTCCCCTGGCCAGGGAATACAGCCTAGAGCCTGAGGAACACATTGGCAAGCCCACTCATGACTTCTTACTGAAGGTAATTACACTGAGGCCTATTATAAAACCGTCCAATCCTAAGAGCTCAGTGAAAACAATAGTGAACTGCAAGTGTGCTGCTGAAAGAGTAAGTCCAAGAGACTCCTTATCCGCATGAACTGATGTTTCATTTTCTGTTGCAGTCTTAAATGCATTGGCTAATCAGTCAGTCTTTTGTATTGGCATAATGTTGCTGTCACACAAAACCTTGTATTTTCAGTTGTCTTTTTTTGGACAGGCTGATTCAAAAAGATTCATCTGATTTCAAAATGATTTATTTCACTTGTAAATCGTTACAGAACGATGCAGTGAACTGTAAATGGTTTAAATGAGCATAAAGTTTATTATATAATTTTACAAGTGCTCAGTATGAACCTCCTCCAGCTGTACAGACAACATCAACGCCATAGTCAAATTCATCCCGTACTCGATTGAGCATGTCGGGTGTCGCTGCACTCACGGCTCTTTCAGTGCGATTTCGGGGATCATCCAGTGTTGTGGAACCAACAACGAACGCTATGAGCTGTTGGAGGTTCACTGCCAATGAAAATCACGTTGCACAGTTATGACGGATTCACTCTTATTGAAGTGGAGAACGCAGAACGCTTTCAGCTCAGGGGTCTCATCTCCTCACAGAGTGAAGGGAGCCATCTTCCAGTGACCATCAGAAACTGTATGACCCCCTCTTTCAATTGGTATGTGATTGGTTCCTAGGCGCCTCACTGTTGTAAAAATGTGGCACTTTGAAATCGGATGAATCTTTTTGAATCACCCTGTACTTTTTTTGCAAAATTTGAAAACTCTATGCTAACAAAATCTTGTTCCAATAACTTATATTACAAGTTGAGAATGTTTTTTCCTTCTCTTAAAAAAGTTACCTTTTTGGAGATACAAGTGTTTGTTCTAACAGTGACAATATGTAATTCTTTAGGTGATAAACTGAAAGGTTTCACTCTCATTTCTCATTTTATTTACATATACATTTTGTATTTGTACCTGACTAAATTGAGGAGACAACAGGCTGTAAAAGATGTTTCTTATATATATTCATATGAATGATTAAGGTTTTACTTCATGCAAATGCATTCCTGAATTTCCTCATAAATGCTATTCTAGCTATATGTAACATATAGCATTCTAATTTTAGTTACCAAGTGCTTTACACAACAACATAAATAAGACATTGGATGCATAAAATATGGTCTAAATGAAATATTTCTATCAATAGGAGAAAATGAGCTGCAATACTCTATGCATACACTGGCCTAAACTAATGTTTTAATCTACACCTATCAAGCTTGCGTTCCTAACAAAGGAATCAACAACCGTTCTAAAGAAGACGTTTCTTCTTCAAACCCACTTACGCAGTTTTACGAAGATTCTGACATTCACCAGTGTTTTCTTATCTGGGATTTGTTCTTAGGTAAGAACAGAATCTACACACTCAAGAGCACAAAGGTGCAAACAGTTTGTGGTTTAAGAACACGTCATGACTCTGATGTTGACTTTTGATTAGGATCTTTTCTCAAGAACAAATTTAAGAAATAACTTAAGAAGATACTGGGGAATGAAGCTCATTGATTGGAAAGCTATTCCAGAGCTTAGTTGGCAGTAAGCCTGCCTCAGCTGAACCAAGTGGTCTGGACAGGCTAAAATGTCTCAGCAGATGTAAGATAAGCAGGAACGAGGCCACTAAGATCTCTAAATGTCATGAGTAAGACCTTGTAGTCAATCTGCAACTTAACAGGAAGCCTGTTTAAATAAGACCAGAGAAATATGCTCAAAGTTTCTGTTCCTGGCGCACAGGAAGCACAAGCACGCAGGCTGCTGCGTTCTGAACTACTTTATTTAGAGAGACAACAAGGCAACCAGCCAATTACAGTAGTCTACAGTAGACAACTCAAAACAAGAACTCATTTCTCAGATTTTCCTAGGTTCCGCATGTGTCTTGTTATGAATATTGTCACCGTCTCCTCGTACAACCTCGTTTCCCAAAAAGTTGGGACGCTCTGCAAAATGTACATTAAAACAGAATGCAATGGTGTGCAAATCATTTAAAGCCTATATTTATTTAGAAATAGTACGAAGACAACATATCAAATGTTGAAACTGAGAAATGTTATTGTTTTTTGAAAAATATATGCCTATTTTGAGTTTGATGCCAGCAACATATTTCCAAAACGCTGGGACAGGGAGCAACAAAAGACCGGGGAGTTTGTGTAGTGCTAAAAAAAACAACTGGTGGTACATCTCACAACAAATTAGGTTAATTGGCAACAGGTCAGTGACATATTTGGGTATATACAGAGCATCTCAGAGAGGCTGAGTCTTTCAGAAGTAAAGATGAGGAGGGATTTCATCATCTCTGGTACATAATATCATTAAAATATTCAGAGAATCCGGAGGAATCTTTGTATGCAAAAGACAAAGCTGAAAACCAGTACTGTCTGGCCGTGATCTTCAGGCCCTCAGGCACAGTCACGAATCTGTAGTGGAAATCAGTGCATGGGCTCAGAAACGCTTCTGAAAACCGCTGTCTGTAAACACAGTTTGACACTGTATCCACAAATGTAGGTTAAACTCTACCATGCAAAGAAACCACATCTAAACAGGATGCAGAAACACTGCTGCCTTCTCTGGGCCTGAGCTCGAGTTGGACTGAGGTGAAGTGGAAAAGTGTCTTGTGGTCCAAAAAGTCAAAACTTGAAATTCTTTTTGGAAATCATGGCCACTGCATCCTCCTGGCTAAAGATAAGAGAGACCATCCGGTTTGTTATCAGCGCACAGTTCAAAAGCCGGCATTCATGATGGTATGAATGGCATTGGTGCACATCTGTGAAGGCACCTTTAATGCTAAACAGTTTATACAGGTTTTGGAGGAACTTTTCAGGGAAGGCCTTGTTATTTTTAGCAAGACAATGTCAAACCACATTCTGCATGTATTACAACAGCATGGCTTCGTAGTAAAAGAGTCCAGGTGCTAAACTGACCTGTCCGCAGTCAAACATTTGGCGCATTATGAAATGAAAAGTACGACAAAGGAGATCCCGAACTGTTGAGCCCCTGTCCCAACCGTGTTGCTGGCATCAAATTCAAAATGGGCATATAGTTTTCAAGAAATTATAATATTTCTCAGTATCAATATTTTTAATGCTGTCTTTGTACTATTTTCAACTAAGTACAGGGCTTAAATGATTTGCACATCATTGCATTTTGTTTTTATTTAGATTTTGCACAGCGTCCCAGTTTTTTGGAAAAGGGTTTGTATTTCCAAAATGGTAACTTTTACAGGAGAAGGAAAAACACAGTTAATTTACAGTGGAAGTCAAAGTGCTTTATGTCAGTGTTTTTGTCATTTTGGACTTTTTCTCTTGGTCCATTCATCATTAAATTGACTCTTTTTTTTTTCACACAAACTAAGACACAGCTGGCATTTTCAAATGTTGTGGTCTTAATATGCACAGGGTAAGAAATCTCAGTATAAATGAGGGATATGGGAGCAGATACTGGATTTACACAATACTTTTACTACGGATGAGAGTATAAAATATTGTCAGCGTTTAATTTGTCATCATTTGTAAACCCTGTCTTGCCGTCTTAAGTGAATGCTCTGTGTCATTTGCTTGGGAACTCACAGCCAGCAGTCAACTGCATAAAATCATCATAATTTTTCTGTAATTCTTAGATTTTAAACTCCTTAGTATCATAATGTTATGCACAGGCTTGATTTTAGCCACAGAGAGCACAAGTAAGTGCTTCTTTAAGCCCCTCTGTTCTTAACTTTTTTTTCCACAGGATATGATCGCATTTTTGCCGACACATCGATTCGCACAGGATTAATATAACCATGAGTTATTATAGGAGACGAAAGGTGCCAGAATCTATACTGGCATGAGAGCACGTCAGATATATCAGTAAACATACCATCATATCCTGTGATTCTTAAAAATAGACAGACTCAAAGTAGCATTTCCTTGAGTCCCCTGTGGCTAAAACTGTTTTATTATACAAGTCTATGACTTGAGGATATTAAAACATGTAAGAATTACAGGAAAAAATAACTGACATGGTGCATTCGAATGTGTTTGAATTCACTGGGAGGCAGTAAAACTTACATTACCCCACCTCCTCATGTTAAACTCATCCTGTCTGAATAGTGCTTTAGAGATGCTGTTTATATGGGACTTTAACTGCATGTGTGCAGGCAGGCGATCTGCTCTACTTCCCCAGAGGAACCATCCACCAGGCAGACACGCCCGCAGGAGTGGAGCACTCTACACACCTCACACTCAGCACCTACCAGAACACGTACGTAAACACACACATGCTCTGATTACATGTTCTCAGACTCTGTGAACTTCTGTTTTCATTGTGTATGTTCGTCTGTCTCTTCATCAGGTCGTGGGGCGACTTCCTAATGGACGTGTTTCCCAGTCTTCTGTTCGACTCCATGAAGAGTGACATCGGCCTGCGTCAGGGTCTCCCCAGAAGCCTCCTCGCTGTATGTTCAACCACACTTATTTTATTTCAGCTACTGTAAGATACAGCGTATCTGCTGCTGTGTGTTTCCCTCATGCTGAATGATTCTCAAGAAAAAGTGATTTTAAAGCAAACTGGACATCTGACATTTTCCTTTCACCTTCCTTTCCTTTCCCCTCTTCATATTGTGTCAGTCTGCACACGTGAGCTCAGATGTAAACAAGCAGGTCTGTATGTTTCTGAGGGGTCTAGCGGAGCGTCTGGAGCAGGGGCAGCAGGAGCTGCGCTCCTCAGAGATGAGGAGAGACTTCATCTCCAGCAGGCTCCCTCCTTACCAGCTGCAGGAGGAGGACATCGCTCCAGGTGAGTGTTTTGGGGGTACATATTAGGAAGGCAAGCTCGATGGATGTTTTTAAAGGGGCATTCCAGTCTAAAACTAGCATTTATTATTTTATGTGTCACGTTATGTAATATTCTGTAGCGCCTCACTGGTTTTTAACTCGCATGATGATGTTCTCTCACTGCAGTACCGAGCATGCATTATGGAAATAAATCCTGATTACTAGCCTTCACATCAGTGTTTATGCAAGCAAATAAAGAAGTGTTTGCAACTTCTTAGCAGTCACGTTAGCTATCTGGCTTCCTTCTGCGTTCACGTTTTTCAGCTATGGTTTGGTGTTTTTTTTATTTAGATCATGGTATTCTCTCCTTTCAGTGTTTTACCTGTCTTACTGTGTAAAACATTTTAAGGTTTTGTAACTAAAATTAAGGCAAGTATATAAATAAAAAATATTTATTTATTTTCTCCAAGTTGGAAAATTACCAGCACTGGAGGACTCTGTGTGCATGAGGTTCAAAGAGCACATTCTTCTCACAGTGGAGCCCAGTCAGGACAACACAGTAAGAATCTATGTCCAAGTTTACATCTATATGTTGCCATTATTTATACTTTTGCTGTCAGAATAAAACCCTGTATTTTCAAAATAGTAGCTTTTTCAGAGAAGGCAAAGAGGAGGAGCTGGTCAGCATATAGAAGAAATACTTAACTGTGCATGTTTGTTCTTCTTCAGGATGAAGCTACAGAGTTAGTGGCATTTGTATTACATTCTCTAAAAAACAAGAGGGAGACACACATGATGGGAGCACATGTTAATGACGAGGAGGAGGATATAGACGAAGAGGAAACCTCACAGGTGAGGCAGGAAAGCACAAATTCATGGTATAGTGTTTGTTAGCCAGCCAGCTCAGCTCTGAGGAATAATATGCAATTTGTCTGATTAGGGCTGAACGATATTAGGAGGAATTACTGCTCTCGCAATAGAAAACATTTGTTGAAAGCAGGAATTAATTCAGTGAGCATGATATGGACGAAATACCATAATGAATTATCCTATTATATATTAGGATTGCGGTGTACCTGCCGATATGTTGAAAACACATCATGGATCCTCACAGAGCAGGTACTATTTGGGTGGTGGATCATTCTCAGCACTGCAGTTACACTGATGTGGTGGTGGTGTGTTAGTGTGTGTTGTGCTGGTCTGAGTGGATCAGACACAGCAGTGCTGCTGGAGTTTTTAAACACCTCAGTGTCACTGCTGGACCGAGAATAGTCCACCAACCAAAAATATCCAGCCGACAGCGTCCTGTGACCACTGATGATGGACTAGAGGATGACCAACACAAACGGTGCAGCAGCAGATGAGCTATAGTCTCTGACTTTACATCTACAAGCTGGACTGATAAGGTAGGAGTGTCTAATAGAGTGGACAGTGAGTGGACGTAGTGTTAAAAACTCCAGCAGCACTGCTGTGTCTCATCCACTCAGACCAGCACAACACACACTAACACACCACCTCCACATCAGTGTTACTGCAGTGCTGAGAATGATCCACCACCCAAATAGTACCTGCTCTGTGAGGGTCCATCGGGGTCCTGACCACCGAAGAACAGGGTAACAGAGGGCTAACAAAGTACGTAGAGTAACAGATGGACTACAGTCTGTAACTGTAGAACTACAAAGTGCACCTATATAGTAAGTGGAGCTGATAAAATGGACAATGAGCATAGAAACAAGGAGGTGGTCATAATGTTATGCCTGATCGGTGTATTATTTTTACCAACATATTTTAAGCTTGAATTCCTTGATTGATTTAAATGCACAAAGAACACCTGTGATTGGTCAGGATACTCACAACACACACTAAAACATTAAGTGACTGGTTAGTCTCATTTGCATATTGTGCACTTCTGGAGCCGAAGTATTGTGAATAATGATTAAGGAAAGATATTGTGCAGCTCTACTATTAATCAATCTGGAGGTCTTCTTACTCTTTTGCATTCTCTTCTGTCACAGTTCCAGGGTCTACGCTTCCCTGCAACTCATCTCCCTGCGCTCAGGCAGCTGCTGAGTGGAGAGCGCCTCCTGGTGGCCGAGTTGCCACTGCAGCAGGACGCAGACAAACTGGGCCTGGTGCTGGGCCTCTGGACTGAAGGACTGTTGCAAGTCTGTTGACCATCTTTCTCCCTGAGCCACACACTGTGCTCAGGACAGACATACAACATGTGGCTTTGTATTGTCTTGACAATCAGACCAGAAAAGACATGCTTTGCAGACTGAAACGAAGCGAATGAAGTCACCAGATGGATGTAAGGACAGTTCTGAACAGGAACCACTCCTGTTATAAAGAGAAGGTTTCAGTTCTCATCCTGGAGGTTTTTCCTGCTCAAACACAACTACAGAACCTGGTAATTAATAGATACATTGAACTAGATGCGTTTGAGCAGGCAAATCACCATGCTGTGCTGGAAGCCAGCCCTGCAGGACCCCGCACTATGACACAGTAATGGCTTTATTCTGATACTGTGTGTACTATTGTGTCATGATGATTCCAGCAGGCTGGTGTGACGTGTAGCCAGGATCCTCTCAGTACCATTGTCAGAACAGCTACTGTTTTGATAATTGCTTCAAGTTTGACCATCTGTTTCTCACTCACACAGCCCTCTGACTCACTTTGTGTGAGAATAAGAATCTCAGCATGTGATTCACAGCCACTCTAACATGACCTCCACGAGGCTTAAACACTTTAAATAATCAGGAAGTTGCAAGTGTGACTCATTTTGGCTGAATACTTAATAAAGAACTCGGTCTGTTGTGGTTTTGTGTGTTCCTAAAGGACCCAAGTCGTGGAAAAACAAATTGTCCTGTTTTTTTTTTTTTTCTTTCTTTTTTTTAAATGAAGGATTTTGTAGTATGTAGATGTTGAAGTTTCCAAACATACTGTTCACGCCTCTGTCTATACAGTTCATAAATGGAACTAAGCTGCAAAAACAGCTTGTTTAGCTGATTTTGCGATGCCAAAAACCAGCGCATTTACATATCGCTGCTGTCAGAAGAAAACCTCGTATCTCTATTTTTGTTGTTTTTCAGTTTTTGACAGTTTGAAAACGTGTGTTGCCCTTTACATTGTATGTTAATTCCATGATGAATGGACCAAGAGAAACAGCCCAAAATTACTTGAAAAAAGTTTGGTTCCATTGACTTACATTAAAAGTATGTTTTTCCTTCTCCTGTAAAGTTTTGGAGATACAAGGTTTTGTTCCGACAGCAGCAATATGTAAATCTATTCAGCCCGCAGCAGTTCAGTTCCACCCATTCGCATAAAGGTTATAATGCGAAGGTTATAAGATTTAGGCTGGACTACCTCTCAGCTGAGGAACAATACAGTCTTAAAAGTGCAATAATAAAAGAGCCTGGTTCATTCATAAAAGAGATGAAAAAAAGTTAGAAAATGCTAAAGGAAAAAATAATTTAGACTGTTTCTGCTACATAAAACCACAAAAAATGTTCCAAGTAGACAATAAAACTATCATAAAAAGCATATTCCAGCTACATCTCAAAGGCTGTAAACATAATGATATGGACATTCACTCAAATGGAACATCAGAATTTATTACACACCTTCAATATTAATCACATCTTTTAAAAACAGTGAGCTTATTGATTCGACTGTACATGTTTTCTCTTTAGAGAGCGCATTCAGTATTTGATACATCTTTTCCTGAATATCATACACTCAGTGTTCAGTGATAAATCCAGTGATTCGACCAGCTTTAAAAAGGAAAAAAGGATCCTCTTTACATGGCCCAAGCTGGCAGGAGCTAATATTTGCAGTTTGGCTTGTTTTTTTCTTTTTTGAGTAAAGGGAGAATTTCTACATGACATCATATGACACAGAAGTCCTGCATTTTCCAATATCAGTACTTAGGGGGCGCTCTATGCCCATTATATGGCCACTGATCTTTAAGTGAGGATCTTAGTGCAAATGTGCTTGGATGAATAAAACAAAAAAGCAAGCATACTCCATATTCATTATATTGCCTTAAATAGGTAATAGAACTCACTTTCCTCTCATGTACTCGCCATTGAATAGTGATAGATCTAAGGAAGTAGTGGTTTTGGTTTGTGGCTTCAAAACTGAATTTAGCACACCAACAGGATTCACTTCTGGTTTAGAGAAGGCTGCGGTATCTACAGGCATTTGTTTGAAGCCCTGCTTTCATTAACCAAAAAGATCACCTGCAGCTGTTAATGGCTACAATTGACTGCCCACAGTCTAGAGTCGAGTTATTGACGTCTGGCTCTGGACAGCCAAAGCACAGCCCTGACATACCAGATCTGTTTTTGAGGTGCTGGAACAAGGAAAAGAAACACACAGACGTGCTGTGGCTTTCCTGGATTAGAAGTGAGGAACACCAGTCTGGACATTTTGTAACGTGTTCCTCTTTTGGTTGTCAGAGGCAGTGCTATTTAGCTTCAGATGGTCCAGTCCATTACCGTGACAACGCCAGTTCAGAGAAACAGTATCGCTTCTCAATCTCACCACTAAAGCACCTCTATGTCCCAGTACTGAGTGGTGTTATCAGCGCAGAACTCACTCAGGATCAGATGGTCCCTGTCTATTCCATTTCCCCCTGAAAGACAGTTAGAAATGTTACACAATAGTTTGATATGTGGACAGTGTCAGGCTGTGCATGTATCAGAAATGTGCAGTAATTAAAAGGGGAATTCCAATTACAGCACTGCTCTAATTTCTGCATAATTAAGGATAAATAATTAAGATGTACACAAAGTCATTCAGACTGGTCTGATGTGAAGTGTTCCATTCTGGAGAAACGTACAGAGTCAGAATTGTTTACAGTGGTGGTGATAGGAACCAGACGTCTGAAGTGTTGAATGCCCCTAAAACGGGTATTTAATCAAAGTTCTATAAGGTCCAGTTAGAGAAAATTTCCTCAAGCAAAGGTCCAGAACATAATGTCTAACTTGTATTATGACTCAGTGCCATATACTGTATACTGAAGTAGCCTAGTAGATATATCAACATCTTATGTAGTCAGCAACTACATAATGTCACAACAATGTCAAATACAATTCAGTAATATTTCAACATTTATTGTCAGTTTTCTCTTTTTAGATAACACCATGCGAAATAACTTCCCTCTGACTCACTTTCTTCTCCGACTGCTGTTTCTCGCCTCGTCCCTCCCCTGTGTGCATCCTTCACTCGAGTCTCAGTGCTCATTGGAATGCACAGATCTGATTGGCTGAGTAGCGTCATGTGTGATATTTACAACGCATGCGATTGGTCTGTGAGTCTCCCAGGCCACTAAACTGGTACCGTAAAGGCTAAAAAAGCTACGCTGATTAAAATAGGACCACCCCGTCAAAATGAAAGAATTCTCCACAGTTTATCGGTTATAGGTCCAGGTCTACATAGGACAGCGTCTGGGTCCGGACTCGGACCGTGGTCCACCTATTAGTGACCTCTGCTCTAAAAGCTGCATCACAGCAAATTATTACACGAAATGGTTAGAAATATGTTGCCTAATTCCTGAGACAGTTTTATGGTACTTTTGAGCTAAGCTTCTGGCTCAAAATGACTGTTTTAAAATACATTTACAGGGTGTTGTAAGGCAAAATACAAATGTTTTCCCAACAGAAAACATATTTTTGAGCATTTATCACTATTTTACCATTATAAATCTTAAATATAAAAACTTGGTAGATTCACTGGTTGTTTTAGACAGTTCATTATCTGGCTATATTTGGGCTGTAGGCATCGCAACCCCTGATTCCAATCACCATCTGAGTTTCTCTACAATGCACCAGTTCACATCAAACTAACAATGACTTTGCATACATCTCAGATTAAATTATGTGAGAATTATGAAAAACTGACAGAATTCCCCATTAGAACAGATCTGAGATGATGAAACTGAGTATGTGAATTAGGTCATAGAATGAATAAGAAAATATTGAAATGTTAACCCCTTTAAATCCCAGGCTTATTACACACTAAGGCTTATTATTCAGTAACTACAGGGACTTCGATATAAACTGGCTGAGCTATTCTTAGGTTATAGGAGTGTGTAGTAAGACTTTGGGCCTGCTAATTATTTAATTAAAGGGTTAAAAGATAAAAATGTTAAGATAATGTTACCTCTTCGGTCCAGTACTAGGCTGCGGTCTAGGTGAGGAGAAATTGTCCCGTTCTCATTCAAACTCCACCTCTGATGTATTCGCCCATGCTCTTCCCACAAGGCCACTCTAGCTCCCACACATGCCTTTCCACCAATCACAGACAGGCAGCCCTTTCCCACCTGCAGGCAGAAACGTAACCTTAGACCAAAGACCGCTGCAAAACAGCTAAAAATTCAGAATTTATCCCTAGAATTTTGGCTAGAATTAGTCAGCTTTGGTGTGTAGCCCAGGTTTTATACAGTCTGTGCAACAAGATTTCTTCAAAACGGGGTTGGGTTCATTTTGTAGCAACAGTTCTCACAAGTATTTTAGGTTTTGCTGAGGCTGCTTAGATGGACGTGTGCAATATTACAGCTTGTACTTTAGTTTAGAATTTCAATAGTGCTCTATAGATAGAAGCATATTTTTCTGCTCTATTTTTAGCATAGCGGTGCTTCAGTTCTGACACTTGAGACGAAATCAAACAGGTAAGGTATCAATGCAGTGAAATGCTATAGTAATAAATTTTAAACCTTGTCTCCACCAGGATGGTTGCATTTCATAAGTGTTTAAGTACATAAGGACAGGACAATTTACAGCAGAGTTGGGGGTGGAGGGGTGGGGGGCAGGGCTGGAGAGCCAAAACAACCAAACTTCCATCACCGTTCACACACTTACTGTACTGCTCTGTGTTATTGTGAGGTTGCATAAACCTCAACTTTCAGAGTTTACAGGATTTTCTTGCAGTGGGAGTGAAAACACAAATGAGTAAACATTTGTGAGAATACTTCAATTCAAGCTGACCTTGCTCTTGAGCAGAGCCTGGCTGTACATCCAGTGCTGCGTATCCAGTGAGCGGTCAGCAGGATGCAGCGAGAGTTTGGCCAGAGACGAAGGGTCCTGAGTTCTCTCTGCAGTCAGCGCCGTCCCTAGAGTTCGACTCCGCACCTGCACGTACGTCCGCCGCTGAGGAGAGGAGAAGAAAACGGTGGTTAAGCGTGAAATGACAGTTTAGATTCAACTCCTCCTTCAGCAAGAAAAAGTATGCAGGGCTATTAACAACAAAAACTGTCTAACATTTCTGAACATGTGGTTTCTCTGACAGTATCAGTGGCACGAGTGCT